AAAATCATGTGGCGAAACTTTTTTTTCTTCTTGTCCACTATTTAAAAATTCATTGAATATTAATTACTTTAACAATGTGTTGCTAAGTTTTTATAAACAATTTTGACACAACTCGACTACTTGTGAAAAAAAAAAAAATCTATTACGTATTACAGAGATATTATTGTCTACAAATATATCTGGTATAGTACAATATATTTTATATAAGTAATAATATTTTATATTTGGTTCAAAAAATGAACGTGTGAAGGATATTTTGTTTGATATTAAAAAAAAAAAAAAAACATCACCATTCATCCTTTGCATAAAAGGGTAAACCAATGGTGATCATCGACGATCCCGTAAATCATTCAAATTCCAGTAGTCCTGACAATACTACTGTTATTAGGCTTGTGAGATCTATTGCAGAAAGGATCCTACTACTATCAATACTACTGCCTATGATCTACCTGGCTGCATATCCTTTCTGGCGGCAATTTCATCAATTATTTGAACAAAATCACGAAGCAACACTACATAATAAAGATAAATCTCTAACTATATAATACATATCTATAAAAGTGCACTCTGATACTATTTTCTCTGGAAAATTTAATACACTTACATCATTTAATACATTTACTTGATTTTATTGATTATAAAATTTTTTAATTTTAAACATTTCGCAGGTAATTCTCCTTCAGTTATTTTTACAATAATTCCAGTGACCGCGGAGAACGAGTTATTATTGCTCTTATTGTTAACTCTTTTTCTCCACATTGATCTCGAAACGCACGGTACTAAACTCTGAACTCATAATTGCGGAGATAGCAGGGATGGAAACTTCGCTGGAAAGTTCGTAGCAAACGGTGATGATTGCGTTTTAATTAAAGGATTGTATCTGCACGATCGGCCGCTAGCTACGATTCAACAATTAATTAACAGTTGCCGCTCTTGTTGCTGGCAGTTGCCTCGACAGGAAAGGGGAGAGAAAAAAAAAAAAGAAGAAGAATTTATACAGAAAGTTCTCGTTTTCATCACAGGCGCAACCTGTTTTCGAACAACGAAAGTTCAACGATCGCGAACATGGTTACTTTCCATGGTATCTCTACGCGTCGAACGAAATTGGAATAAACAATTCGTCAGACACGCGTCTGACATGACGGAATTTCCCAGAGCTTCGAACGGAGAGTTTCATTGAACGGCGCATAATGAATTCTCGCTTCGATTCTGATTTGATTGTACTCGAGACAGCAGCTTTCGCCGTATTTCAGAGCAAGAAGATTATTCTTATTTTTTTCGAAACGAGGCAAAAAATTGATTCAATGTTTTGTCCACTGGCTTTTGTCAGGCGATAATCAATGAAATTCACATTTGAATTTAAATTGATCAAATTCAGAAATTCATATCAGAACATGTTGCGTACAAAATGCACGAAAATGTGTAAAATTTGTGAAATATAAAGAATATTTATTAGAAGTTGAGTTTAATTCCACGTCATTGCCTGCGTGATTTCATATTTTCCGCTATTGTCCAATCACGCATGAAATTCTTCGTTAATTCCCGATTGCGTTCAACCGATACAATTCAAAGGTATTTCATTTCATTGGGTTATAAAATTAAATTTAATTATACACACTAAATTTTAGTAGAGAACTGCAACCACCAATAATTACGATACGAAACCCGTATCGGAGAAATGAAAGACCACAAGCTTTCCTTCACATCTGCAATATATATTTTCATATAATTATCGATAACTGCGAATCTATAAAATTTCCCGACACTCGCCACCAACATTTACCAGTAGTAGATCTATAAAATTTCCAACTGAAACATAAAATTGCTCCACTTTTACGTAAATCGAATTAAACGCCAACGAAATCTTCTCGAATCTTCTCAGACAACAACAACATGCTCGACGACAATTCGGTCACGGTGGCTCGGCTCTTTCGTCGTTCGCACGACGCGAGAAAATGGCGAAGATCCAGCGTGACCGTCGGAGAACGTTTCGTCGCCGTGGTTTTCGCATTCGCGGCTGGCTTTCGAAACGGAAACGCGGCTGGACGCGTGGGTGTCGCTGAGTAACCCGGTGGGTGGACACGTGTGCCGCGTGTTTGACCGCAGCTCAAGACGCCGGTAAACAATGCAAGCATACATTACACATACAAGCAGCCAGAATCCGCGCCATTGTGCGCGCATCCCCGTTGTTTCTCGCGCCTTTCGGCTTTCGTCTCACTCTTTCGCCCCTCCATTCCTCCTTCTTTTCCACTGTCCTCGCGTTACTCGTTTCGCGCCTTCCTTTTGTCGTTCATTTTTTCCCTTCTTCTTCTTTTTTTTTTTTTTTTTTCGGGCATCGGAGGTTGGATGACTGTGATTACTTCGTAGGTGGCTGCGAGCGTTCGCAGACTTCCTTCGGAAGTTTTGTATGACGCACCGTGGTACTTCATTCGAATTTATTTCGTCACTTTTGACAAGTGTTCGCTGTCGGGGAACGTTTCTTTGGACGAATTATATAATTAAGGAATTAGGGAATATATGCGCAACTCATTAAATGCCAGAACACACTGTATCACGGATATTTATATAAATTTGTGAATATTATACGAAATGCAGTTTGTACTTTTAAAGTAAAGCGCAGTTAATTGATTTTGGAAATTGATGTAATAGATGTAATAACCTAATTCGTAATTTAATTTCAAGTGTATCCGTAAACTGAGCCACGTTTATTAATATTGAATTTTAAGTATTTTCGTCGATTTCGAAGCTTGAAAAATTTTCTACGCGTACACACTCCCGTATCGCTTGACGCAATATATCGAATTGCATCGGGCAAATAATTTCAGACGCCGACAAATTGTTGCCGCGCGCGCGCGCGCGCATGCCTGTAACTTCAGATTTTAATAGATTGGCATTTCGCCAATATCCAAACGTGAAACGTATATTTTAATTACTTTACAGCGATATAACGTTCCATTAAATGGCTTCGCATATTGAAATGCGCTAAAAAGTTGATCACATGTTAATTAATTATTCGCGTACCATCGCTGCCCCGTCAATAATATCCGCAGAGATAACCGCAATATCTATTAAACAAATAGACATGTTGTGTTGATCAATCGGTGATCGGTACCAATTATATTCATCGAACGTTATGTCATTTATTCAGTAACAATCAAACCGTACCCAACTGTGATATAACGTAATATGTAATTAATCAACGTTTTGACTATATTCGATGCTCTGATTGTTATTTGAATAGCCGAGTCACTAAAACAAGCGGACATTAAAAAAATTTCATTTTGCTCAAGAATTTTACAAACTCTCTCTCTCTCTCTCTCTCAAGTAATCTTTTGTATCACACCGTTATTCAATACAATTTATCACAATTAATTTCAATCTGAGAGAAGAATTTTTGAGCAAGTGATTGGAAAGAAATTCAATAAAATAAATTATTCTATACAGTGAAATAAATGGAAAGATTACTCCGTAAATTGAAAAGAAAGGCAGGAATAATTACTCGTTTCTAATATAAAACACACGTTTCCTTTCATATTTGCCTCATTTCCTCCCCTATCTGTTCCTTTTCGTTCAAACGTCTCTTTCTTCTCTTCATTCACGAAGATTTATTTAGCAGCACTGAATGCTACAGTCTCTTCCTTATTTATTCGACATCTGTCTCGCTCGTGAGTTTCCCGGCGTTGTCTCACCAAGCGTTGTTAACAACAATGTTTGTCGAGTCTCTCCGCGTTTACTTTTCCACCCTATTCCAGGCTCTTGATTTTTGCGCTTCTTTCCAGCGCAACTGTTACTGCATTCGTGCAACCTTGCCTCTGTTTCCTCTCTTTCGATTTTCTTCTTCTTCTCATTTCCCCTCCGCTTTATTCCAACCTAATCTCTACCTATCGTCTGCGAATCATCGAGGCGACGTTCATCCGATAAAATTAACGTAAGGAAAAATCAAAATTGCACGAATTTCATTTCAGAAAATTCAAACGAAACTATTGTATTATCATAAAGTCTATTTCGCGATTTCTTTTTTTTTTCTCTTTTGTTTGCAAAGAAAACATTTCGAGATCTTTTCCCTTTTTTTTTCATCTTTTCTCCGTCTGAATGATACAACCAGTGCCGCGGAGCGTGGTTTCACGGTTTACATGTTTCCTCTACTTTGCAATTAATTGGAAGGACGCTGGAAAGTTTGGCTGACGGGAAGAAGTGTCCCGGCATTAATTAAAGAACTTTCCTGCCAGCCGAAGTACCGGTGTTTTATTTTCAAAATTTTCCAACTCGTGCCCTCCCTCCATTTATTTCCCTTGAATAATTATTTATGACCATCCCGAAATTAGATAAAAAGTCATCGTCGCCGACGATAGCTTTCGCCCGCGGAATCTCGTTATTTCCAAATTAGGCAACTTTTCATCTCTCTGCCGATCGATTTTACTCGTTTTCTCATTATCCGCCCAGCGATTCATTGTTCTGAATAATTCCCCTCGTAATCCCTCGGTAAGGAAGTTAGTGATTTATTATTAGCACGCAGGACTCGGCAACCATGAATTTCAAATCTGTATCAGAAAGAAGAAAAATGACTCCGTGTCTTGATCTTAAGGTCTAAGCATATTTTTATTGTACCTGTAATTTTATACAATTATATATAACTCGCTACTTTGCAAGTGCTGTTGCGTATAATAAACATAACAAACATACGGTACTATTTTTATACTGGTATTATACAGTGTAGTTAAGTGCACTCGAAGAATATTCAAAACCGATTTATTCGAAAACGAAGCCTCAAACGAAAGAATTTTATTCTTCATTCGATTTCGACTTATTTTTTTATGCAGAATCACCTCCTCTCTACTATTCAATGTTGTTTATAAATACTATTATTTTACACTCACGTTTATAAAACACTTTGTACTTGATGTTACCCTCCCTCTCTACTAATCAATATTGTTTATAAATACAATTACTTTACAACCCATTCATAAAACACTTTGTATTTGTTGTTTAAATAAAAAAAGGCCACTCAGAACGCATCTTTCCCATCATCCTTGCACTAAGTGCAAGGACTGAGCGATCATCGATGACTGAGAAGATTGAAACTAAGAGTCAATCTCCACACAGCCTTCCTCACGCTCATGGAAAGATGCTACATCATCGTGGTTGTTGCCATATATTGGCAACAATCTGTAATTTGGCTACAACAAGATCCACTGACGATGCCTATATCTAACTGCCAGTGTATACTTTCTACTGCGGGTACTGGCTAGTAACTATTTGGCCATCTATGAAGAAGAATACGAAGTAACGTAAAAAACCAAAGATGACGGAATTGTGTAATAAAATCATCATCGAACGTTCCCTGATACACATCTTAAAATAATCGTTTGCAACATATATATATATATATATATATATATATATATATATATAAAATAATCATGTCGAATTCGAGGTAAAACACCTCGAATTATGACTAATAATATTAAATTTATTATATGAAATAAATTAAATTAAATATTTCAATAAATAAACCATAAAAAAATTATTACTAAAATTATTCTTATAAATAATAAATTTATATATTCAGAGAAAAAATATAAACGAATAGTCTTCTATATTTTAAATTAAATCCTAAAACCAATTCTGATTCAATCTCAAATCAAAAGGAATTCGATTTAAATCAATCAATAAACTAATAATAAATATAAAATATAAAGAATATAAAAAAAAAAGGATTTAAAAATATGTTATCTAGAGCACAATAAGGACACACGAACACAGGAGAATCGTTTGATACGTTACTTGAAGCAATGACACGGGAAAACAAGGACGAGGATTTGAACTTAAAAAGAACTGAAGTAGAGTGTAAAAGCCAGTCTAAATTGATCGCTCTGAATGAAAAGAAACGAAGAATCGTCATTCCTAACGATCTGTAACGAATTCGAAGTAGCAAAAAGTTTAAAAAAACGAAAGAATCCTCCACACTGTGAAACTGTCAAAATAAAAATAAGAGAGAAAGAAAGAACAGAAGACTCCAGAAGAGAAATATCGTCTAAATTGATAAGAATAAAAGAAACGAAGAACTGTCATTCCCAAAGATATGCAACGAAAATTCAGAACAGCGAAAACTTCGAGAAACGAAAGAATCCTCCGTGTCGTGGAACCGTCGGGACGAAAAATGAGAAAGAAAGGAGAGAAATTTCGCGGTTGACAAACAGGTCTGGAAGGTTCAATTGATTCGACGAAGAAAATTGGCCGGGACACACGGTGGCGGCGGTACGCGAGGTTGTTCCGGGGCGCGCAATTACTCGGATCGCTAACGAGCGTCAACCACGCGAACGTCGCCTCGCCCCCGGTGCCAGCCTCGGACGATTTTCGTCGTCCATTGGGATTAATTAAAAAAGCCACGGGACGGAGTATTATCCTATTTGATGCGTTGCGTTTCATTACCGTTTTCAGGACGACGGAGGGGCTGAAACGCGCGGCTCCTTCCTCCTTCGGCCGAGAGCCAAGGGCCCTCGCGCAAAAAAGATTGTATCGCGGATGATTTACTAACTTTCTGCGCAAAGATAATGGGCCCGGGGCCGAGAAGTGCGCCCCGATAGCCAATTTCTTCCGCCGATACGCCCGAACGATACAAGAATGGGACGCGCGCGCGACAGAGAGATTGAGAGAGAGTGATGCGCGCGATGCGCTCGCGGTAATCTCGTTTTTATCGGACGCTCTCTCGCAAAATCCTCCAATTAGCGCGCATAACATTACCGTAATTACAGTACCTACCGAGGTAACCGCAGCATCATCATATCGATAGGGTTAATACGCCCTCGAAAAACCGTTCGAAAGCCCGGGCTCCTTCCATTTTCTTTTTTTTTTTTTTTTTTTTTTTT